CTTTAGCTAAGTTCAAAGCTCAGTTTCAAACAAAGTGACCAAGATATTTTTAAAAAATAATCAAACTTCATACACAGTATAGCTGCAGAAAAAAATAACAGACAGTAGAGTTGTACTGAGCCACCCACTGAAAAAAACCGGTCCTACTAAACAGAGTACGCTAGTACATATGTACGATAGAAGACTTTAAAGTAAGCTAGTAATAACTGTATATTTATTGCGAAAAATTTTTTGAGATATTTCTTCAAACTGAAAGCCTTTTATTGCCTGACGTCACGCTAAGGATCAATATTCCCTGGGTTCGAAGAGGTCACAGTTAGCCAGCAAAATTTTGTGCATGCTGATTATCATCGGATTTGTTACATGCATTTCAGCAACAACAGTTTTCTATTCTGTTAGCAGAAAAATAAACATATTGCTAATACAATACATTGATGGATGTATTTATTTTCTCTAGCTTTTTGCTAGCATATACCACAGGAGTCGGCAATTTTATCAATAAATAGAAAATAAATGGTAAACAGGAATAAATCCTACCAGTGAGCTTCGCGAGCGTAGCGAGCGAAGCGACAGGATGGCAACGAGTTTTCTCGATTTTCTCTAAATCGCTGTCCAGCCAACATCAAACTCCACAAATCAACTTCGGAGTGTCCAGTAAGTAATTCCTAACATTTTTTACCATTCAACTACCCTTAATTATCTCCATAACCACACTTTTTCACATCTCGTTTACAACCAGCGGCCATTGACAATCTGCGTGACGTCACACCCACTGCAGCAAATAATAATTCCTCAAATTAATAAATATGCTATTAAAAATTTTTTTACCAATGGATTAAGTTTTTATTTATTTTTTAATGTTTATATAACTCAAAAAACATTTACTAACTCTATCCCTTAATAGAAATTGGAATGTGTTGATTCAAAAAGAAAGGGAGATAATCGTCTACTTTCGTTTGTGGGAAATATAAAAACAGAGAGTGACAGTCGTTTTTTATTAGTGATTCAAGACAATTGAAGATGTCCAGCAATTTTGGAGCTTCTGTTCAGTAAGTGGATTTTTAAAAATCAATTACTAATGCCGAAAACACAATAAAAGAGACCCAAAATGATTATTTATTATTTGCTGCAGTGGGTGTGACGTCACGCAGATTGTCAATGGCCGCTGGTTGTAAACGAGATGTGAAAAAGTGTGGTTATGGAGATAATTAAGGGTAGTTGAATGGTAAAAAATGTTAGGAATTACTTACTGGACACTCCGAAGTTGATTTGTGGAGTTTGATGTTGGCTGGACAGCGATTTAGAGAAAATCGAGAAAACTCGTTGCCATCCTGTCGCTTCGCTCGCTACGCTCGCGAAGCTCACTGGTAGAATTTATGCCTGTTTACCATTTATTTTCTATTTATTGATAAAATTGCCGACTCCTGTGCATATACCGGTATTAATTTCATGCGAGTTCTTATACGGATATATGTCAGTTTGACCTTTTTTCTGCGTTTCTATACTACTGGATTAGTCCATTTGTCTTCTAGGTAGGAGTGACACTATTATTTCGCGCCAAAATGTCACGTGTAGGTTATTGCACCCTTTTTCTGGACTATTCCATTGAATGAAAATGAAGCCTGTTCTTTTTTGTCAGAATCCTGGTCGACCTTAGGAAAAAAACAAACAAACAAACAATTCGGTGACATTGTGAAGTGAGTTAGAAGTTACATTATTTAAAGTAATAAAACATTTGATGTTGACCCCTCATCTCTTGGAAAAACTTCCTGAATCCGCACCATGGGATTCATATATATCGCCGTCAAGTTTGTTGGGTCATTTAAAGCTTTAATTATTTTTCCCACGTTTCCAACAATCTTTGATACTTTGGCATACCCAAGAAACTATCAATCATATTCTACACGTCAGTCATAATTGTTAGATCCCCAATTTCTTGTAGGTATCATATTTTCAGCTGCCACCTTTATATGTAGCCATGATTTCAAGTATTAATCAAATGTTTTTCCTTATTTACGTCATCCTCTAAACCATTTTAGACTTGCGGACAGAGGTGTTCATCTTTACGTCCCAGGTTCGAATCTACAGCGGGACATGATCATGATTGCATTTTTTATTTGAGATACAAACAGTATACATATATGGTTTATGTTTTGTGCAACATCTCCATAATTTACTCCAATGAAATAATTTAACCCCCCCCCCCCCAATGTAAACGTTTATAGTTTATCATGCTCATAGATTCTATAGATTTTGATGACATTAGTCAGCCAAGCTTTTTAAAAAGCTGCTACTTGTGTTATTATTTGTTTATTTATTCGCGCAAAGGACATTGGGTAGTAAAGGAGCTCTGGGAATGTTGCACAACAAAATTTGCTTGACGTGTGTACAATTCCGAACTTCTTTTCTTACACATTATTCTATTGAGCTCGCTGCGCTCGCTATTATACGGTTCTTGAAAATGAAAGAAACGTCGTAGTCTTTATGAAAAGTAACCAATTTTCTCGATTGTACAAACATTTTCTAAGAAATTAGGGGGGGGGGTTAAGTTATACAAAGAAAAAAAAATAATATGTGTAATTTTACATTGCCGACGTGAAGTGATCTGATACATGTGTACTGTATTTATGAGAGGTTCATATCTCTTCCCTCGTCTGAAAAGTGTTGCATCCATTGATATTTTCTTTTTTGCTACGATTTAATGCTTTAAAAATGATGTCTTTATTTAATTTGGTTATTTTCGATATATCAATATCGATCTGTCCCACCTGTCTGTGGGATGCGATAGTAAAGTGTCTGCCGTCCGTTCGTCTGTCTAGCTGTCTGTCTGTCTGTAAACAATTTTTCACCGTTTTGGTCTGATTTCAATATAACTTGGCACACAAGTACACATCTCTAAGATACATACATGTAGTATAGTGCATTGGTTTTTGAATGCTTTAAAATGCGACTTCTTCAACAGTTTTTGTCTGAATTCAATATTGCTTGGTACATAAGTAGCCTTCACTAAGATACAAAATATCGTGATTCGTTTTTGATTTCAATAAACGGTGTTGCCATGGTTACTAAAAATAGAAATTTCTGTATATAATACCTTACAAATGCTACTCTTCCTACAGTTTTAGTTTGATTTCAATATAACTGGACACACAAGTAGACTTCAATGTGATACATAATTAAGTGCATCATTTTTGATTTCGATGAACGGTGTTGTCATGATTACAAAAAATAGAAATTTATGTGAAATTCCTTTAAAACGCTACTCCTTCTACAGTTTTGGTCTAATGGCAATGGCTAGTTTTCTCTTCCTTTGTTATAAGTACAAACAAGTAGAGCTATTGTCTCGACATTGTGTTGAACCCAATGAATCATTTTGCCTCGATTATAATCAGAAAAAAAAACCATGGCTGAACATATCCAGTCATTTGGACGAGTCAAGATTAGTGACAGTGAAACTGTAAATTCGCTACCATTTTTCTACCAGTGAAACATTGCTGATATAATGCAGGGTGGGACGTGACCTTGACTCGAGTTCAAAGTCCCCAAGGATAAGATGTTTTTGGTTGGATGCATGGACAGAAAGAATATCTAAATAAAATGTTTGAAATTTTCCAGACGGTAACACATGGATAATATTTTATAACGAGAGCTAGTCATTGCTTGGATCAAGGTCATTTGGAGAGTTCAAGGTCACTTGGAAAATTCAAGGTCACACATATTCTTTTACAGTCTTTTTCCTAGCTAAACATTGCAAGTTGCTTCTCTTAATAGGTTTAAATTTTCATTTGTAGAACTTTAGAATGTGGCTTTTGACCTAGACTCAAGGTTACATCTTCTTATCCGTAGCTCCAACGGAAGACCTATTCGTTGCTTTGCAACGAGCTCGGCTCTAGTTTTTATTCTTTTTCTGATCTTGACAGCGGGTAAACAGCGGGTGCGGTCGGTCGACAGGGGATGCTCACTCCTCCATGGCACCTGATCCTACTTCATGTTTTGGAGGCCACCTGCCCCTGTATTGTATTGTTTTATGGACTCTTGATCTTACTGTCCATTATCTCCATATATTTCATTAAAAAGTAATTATTTAAAAATTACCTAATTATTTGCAAAACTCGTATATTGTCAATTAAAATACGAGTACATCTACACTCATTTCTAATATTACTTTTTTAACCTTTCTAAAACATTTAATGTAAAAGAAAAAAAATAATAATGTTTATTTAGTCATTTACGTTTTATTGCAGAATTCTTGCACAAATGTATTGAATTATTTTGATTAATTAACCTAAATTATTAAGATACAATGACCCTAAGAGCATTAATTAAGCAAATATTTTTAAGGTTTTTCAAAATTATGTGTTAAGTCAATATTTTCGACCGAGTTTTCTTAAGATTTTTACGTCTTTCTCATCTCAACAAATAGCCAACTTTTATCTTGTAGAGTTGATCCACCTCTGTTTTTTTTTTTAATGTCAATCCAAGTTCCAAATACAAGCATGCTACTAAGACAAATTACAAAATATGATGCCAATTTTTTTCAATTTGTCAAATTTGTCAAATACATTAACATTTCGCTAGAGAAAATATACATGTATTCTATTTTCAAGATGTGACAGATGAATTTCGCTTATTAAAGTTTTAATCGAATATTGTTTTTTTTTAATATTTTTTCTATACATGCTTTGTGAAAAATAAATCAACACTTCAATAAATTTCTATTTTTTACATGCAATTATAGGTGGAGATTTTGCAGTTATCAGAGAAAAACACTGCTTTTCGGTCCTAAATTTTCGTAGCTTAATCAATATCAAAATGCACTTGCGACCTTACTTTGTAACGTCAGGGAAATCGTAACGCACACCGTTGAAGGTCAACAGGCAAAATGACACAAAGATAAGGCATTATTTCACTATTTATTCTTTCGAAACGTAATCAATGAAAAAAAATTGCATACATTTTATAGGTATTTAGTCTTTGTGTCTATATGTAATATATTAATTAAAGTTATCTGAGTGATTTGAAATTAAGTATACATATTTCCTGAAAATATTTAAAGATTTTAAGTTTTCCGTTTTATTTATTTTGCTCACGACATCCATATGATATCTCTATGAAAACGCTTCTTAATTCAGCAGACAAATAAGTTGTCAACGTAAAAAGAATATACTCATTTCATCTAACTGTATAACAAAATAAAAACAATTTGCAAATATATACATCAGGTAAATATTAAGTGAACTAACTACACTGTAACAAGGATATTAGGTAAGATTGTATGACTGTATGAAAATATAAATACAAATTTCCATGTATATGTACTACACACAACGGATACTTTTATTCTCCTCTTGGGAGTCAAAGCTTAGCTCTCGTCACACCACACGGTTATATTCATTTTAAAATTATCCTGAAGTAAAGAATCTTGACCAGTCAACGAAGGGGAAAAAAGATTTCTTCCACTCTGAAAGATCCATAAAAGGTAAAGAAGAACACTTTACTCGGGGATTTCTGTAAAAAAAAAAATGCAATCAATATCAATTGTGAACAGGGCAATATTCAAAGACCCTTAAAATTCCCAGTGATCCACTGGGAATAAGGATCCCTTTTGAACTGTCTCACCCAGAGGGATTTTAAAAGTAATATTTATACAAACATCTAACAATTGGTGTGAAATATAGTTGTCAAGATATGTTCCAATGATGGGATTCCTCGCTATAAGGTTATTTAAATTATCGTAAAGTTTATGAAGTAATGATTTACAAGTAGAAAGTACAAGTCACTGTAAAAAAATAAGTCAGTATATATCAAGGAATAACAAGTAAGTGTTTTTTAAAGTTTCCAAAATATAACTATTTCTGTGATGTACTTTTTAACTACTCTTTACAAAATTTGCCATATATGTTTATGTATAATATTGGAGAATTTATCAAAATAAAAAAAAGTATTTATCTTATAATTTATTTTCCTAACAAACTTCACTGTTCTGAAAATGAGCGACAAGAATTAAAATTGAAAAGATCAAAGTTTATCAATTGTGAAGTTAAATCCACGTCTGATACTTACTTTGATCCTACTAGGTTGAACACTTCTTTCTGAATTTCATCCAGATTCAGTGTCTCACAAAGGATCTTAGAAAACGTCATCTTTCTTATTTCTCTCAACTGACCTGTCAAAAATCATGATCACTTAAAATTTACAACGACAGATGTAGCATGATGACATATGCATCACTTAATTGTCCACTATTTATTTGATTGTAAATAAGCAAAACACGAACAATATTTCAGATTATGATAACTTTAAAACTTTAAATTTATTAACGATAGTAGATCAAAGATGATAAACCGCATTTTCAGACCTTAATACATATATTTTCTACATCATTTTAGCACATTATCAAATTATTCCATCTGTTCAATTATTTTATTGTACATGCGAGTAAATGTAATCTTTAAAGTTTGATTTAAAAATGCATCGAGGATATATAAAATTGAGAAAAACAAATTGTGATCCATTTGCCAAGATTAAGTCTTACTCGGTCTTATCTAATACCTATTCCAAAATCAAAGACTTGTATTTACCTCTTGAGAATCCCTCTATCCCTTTCGTTTCGTACCAATATCTGTCCCCAAACCTTAGTTCCTTGAACTGCCATCCTAATAAACATTCAAAAAGCGGACCTACTACTGCGTCTGCGCGAGGTGTTTCTGAAATACCTCCAGCAAAGACATCAATATCATCAACGTGGCTGTAAAATGAAACGCTATTTATCTACATTTTATGAACACAATTTTATAGGATCTTTTGGTTGAATAGAAATAACCGTTCGGTTATTTCTTTTTCTTAGAAATCGTAGCTTTATTTAATGTTCTAACTAGGATATTCTTATGCACACTTACACTTTACAAATGAATTTGACTGAATGTCGTTATAAATGTAAACACACACTTACTCATACACATCTTGCAATCTTGCAATTGTGTCGGAGTTATGATCTTGTAATTCAGAAAAAGTTGTTGCTACCGGAAGTTTACACAACTTCCTCCACTCGTTGTAAGCAGGCAAGCCGTGGTCCCGCCCTCTTTGAATGTTGAACGACATTAGGTCAAAGGTTACTCCATTAACATCAGGAAATAATTCATTTCTAGCAGCATTTTCAATTTGTCTGAAATAGTTAAAAAAAAAACAGTTGACTCTATAACTAGATGTCATGCTTTGGCTTATTTATCTATGATAATTTTTTAACTTTTGAAGAATTTCAAATTCAAATAAAGGATATGCTGAGTCAGATATCACTTCAAACTTTTTTTTATCTATGTTATCTATTTATTTTTACAAATAATATATATCTCAATAATTTCAAACATTTTAGTTGAATAATTGTTGTATTTATATGTAATCTATTCCTGAACATCTAAAATAGAGTGAAAGTGAGATAGAATGATGTACCTATCAACTTTTCTTGCAGGGGTGCCCAATAAAAACCGCGCTAAATCTGGAATGTTTTGTCCTTGTTGTGTAACAACAATATTGGGGTCCATGAAGACATCTTCCGATTTAAATACTCTAGATATTGCAAACATTCTCGTCATATAACCTAGCTCTGGTGGAATCTGAAAAATGTGAAATTGCTTGGAATCAATGTTCAATTTCCTTCCTCATCTTTAAAATTATTTTTTGAAAGAAATAGCATTGAGATAAGGTAGGGAAAAAGAATTAGTCGTTTTTAAGAAACTTAAAATTAGGAACTCTACATCATTTGAGGGTGATATGTAAAAACGTTTATGTATATTGTCCTCAAAGGAAACAAAGTCAACTGCAACTATAAGTTACCTGTGAGTGTCCATATCGAAGTGCTGCAGTGGCAATGACGTTCTTAACAGTGGGGTTCACATTTGGGTTATATTTGTTCCAATATCCATTCCTTCGAAGGTTCAGACAGAATTTCTTACGAGTGTCTTTCCCTAAAATGGCGGGAAGGTATTCCCCATACGCCACTTGTTGCATGATGGCGCCCATAATCTTCTTCGTTTCCAAGAACACATCTTGGCTAGATAGTCCAGTAACTTGTCGAATTTCCTTTGCAATCATATTGTGAAGACGAAGAAATACAACATGAAGACCACCCAAAGAAGGAAATTCATTCGATCTTTCGTCGCCTACAATAAATGTGCATTTAATTATTAGAAAGTTAACAATTTTCCCTGACTTCTGTTACATCATATTATATAAGGAAGTAAGAGTGCTATTCCGTTCATGAAGGCGTTCAATGTACATGTACAAAAGTATTGATTGATTGATGGTATATATATATTGTTTAACGTCCCTCTCGAGAATTTTTCACTCATATGGAGACGTCATCGTATGCCGTTAAAGGGCTGCAGATTTAGACCTAGACTCGGCACTCGGGATAAATGAGCAGTGAGGTTTCTTTATTGTGCCAGCGCCTGTCGTGACACGGGACCTACGTTTTTACGGTCATATTCGAAAGACCCGCGACTTTCACTTCTAGTGCCAAGCGCTTTCCAGTGGAACAGTCACCACCTATGTTTACGTCCTAGGTATGACGCGGCGCCGCGAACGAGAAACGAACTCGGGCCTCCCGATCACGAAGCGAACGCTGTACCACTAGACTACCGTGACAGGTGTGTACAAATGGAAAAATGGTTAATTGTTTTAAGTAGGAATAAATATCAAAGTGTCAGTGAAAACACAAACAGTAAAATATTTTTGTTTTAAATTTAAGATATATTATTTTCCTGATTAATGATGGCTCAAAATAAAATCAGCCCGTATGAAACTGAAGAAAAATCCTTTTTGTATTTATTACCAGCCAGTTGGCAGAAATCTTCTGCTTGAGATGTATGACAAATTCCTCCGGGAGGAAGTATGTCACCTGATGACGTTCTCAAAGTTCCTGAAAAAAAAATGAAATGACGTCATATAGTTACTATATATCAAAGATATAATTATACTTTTATGGGAGATATAATGCCCAAAAAATTAATATTTATCAGTGTGTTTATACTTCCAGGTTTAATTTCAAATACGCTGTTAAATTTACATCATACCAACACGTCCATTAAGATTCTCATTAAAACGTTTAGAGTCTCCGTATAACATTCCTGCATCAATGAAGGAAGATAATCGGTTCACTTGTTGTCTTGGACCTAGAATAAATACAGAAACAATGTTACTTAACAAAGAATTCAGAAAAAATATATACTAAAACGCAAAAGAAACGCAAGAAGCAGTCATTTACAAATGTTTGAATTTTTTATATGATAATTTAAAAAAGAATACAATAAAGCAAAACTCACTTTTCAGAAATTCTGAGATTTGGTAAAAATGTTAAATGTTTTTCTTTTGACTTTACTAAGTAACATATGGCTATAAAAAACACAAACAGACACCCTCCCATCCATTTAATTAGAACGTGCAAGACTGCCCTAAACAACAATTGCAGCTTAATTTCTACGATGCAATAGGTTAATCAATATCGAGATCTGAGCGAAGGAATAATTCTTTGCCATTTTTAAATGCCTGTTTTTCAGATAATTAGGTGGAATTTTCTCTACATTAGCGGATTGGAGTAACCCTTTGACTTCCGGTCCAAGGACTATCAGTTTTGCATATGATACGTCAGACCCCGTGGAGGCATAATGTAGTATGTTTTTTGCATCATCAACTCTCCATCACCTTTACTTTGAAATTTTGTAGCTAGAGCAATGGAAATGCGCACAACAGCCATTTTCAAGAAGCCTAAGCATCGTTACGGGAAACGATGAAAACTCAAAAATATGGCCAGATGTTCTGTTAAACATGCATTTATTTATTTCTGTTAAGCAGACTTAAACTTGACTTCCGGTTATAGTATGAAAAATCGTTCAACCGTTAAACTACCAATCTTTATCGATATTGAAGATATCCTTAATTTTAACATACAAAATTCTTTACTTTACATAATTATTTCCCCCCAAAGTAGGGTGTTGCGTTTCTTTTGCGTTTCAGTATATATGAACTCAATACCAATATAAACGAGATATATACCTTCTGATATGTTTTCTTCGATTGCAGGACCGGGCTGCTCTATACATATAAGTTTAAGTGTTGGTGTATGTCGAATTAAAGGTTTTCTAAACATTGAAAAGATTGTTAATCAGAATGTTCTTTCCGTTTATAAATTACGAGATACATAATATATTTACTTCCATTAAGTGAATCTGTAAAAATATGTACGTTTTCATATTTATTATATAAAGTTACTTATCATTTACTATCGAAACAACGACAGGTCCTTTTTTTAGAACATCGAATTTTACTTCTCGGATAAAAACGTACTCTGCACAAGTTCGTGTTTTATATTCTAAAATTGAAAATTAACACTATTTAAATATAAATAATGCGTGTCTAACACGTCAATTTGTATTTAATGCAGCCAACATTTACTTGAGGAATTGATCAAATTTAAAATGGTATCGTTTTTGATTGATTTTTATCCGACTAGAAGTTTTTGCGATTATCGTCTCCATCATTAAGACGCATGCCTTTTTACACATGTCGAAGCGGTTTGTTGGTCAAGTTTACTTTATATATTTCCCGGGCGACAATTGATGGTTACATCAATGTGTTCTTGTTATTATTGTCAGGCATCTCATATGGCGCCATCAGCCTTTTTTTTATTTACTGTAAATCAATAAAAATTTCTTTAAATTCAGTTTAATACCTATACTGCAGCCTTCGTCAGTTGGAGTTGGTATTGATCGAGAAAAATCCATACATGTTCTTCCTGGAAATCGAACATCGTTTGTTGGGATTTCTATAGCATAACACTCGGGACTGCAAAAGATAATAACGCTTTGTCTTTGAAATATCAAAGAAGCATAATCAATTTTAAAATTACTTAATCGTTTTGATTTTAACATTCCGGATGTTTATTGAGGTGTAAACATGCAATTTTATAGCTTAATCTAATCTAAATCAAAAAATATTATAAATCGTGTTTACTGCTTTACATGTATGCATTTACTGCAGAATACATGTATTTTAAATACATAGAGAATTATATAAATCGTTGCATCCTGAATGTAAGCACTTAGAATTTAGGATGCCTGTTTTTTTCTGTCGGAAGAACTATTTTGGCAATGTTCTCTTTGTTTTTGTTGTTCCCGAACGTTATTTTGTATTTGGTCAATGTATTTTTTACAGAATATATAATTAAGTGACGAATCAACTTACTCCGAGGCATCTACTCCACAACAGTCAAGGGTATTTCCATTTCTACCTATAAAATATTCACAAAAATAAAACACACAAGTTATTTCAAATTTTAAAATCTTCTTGTAAGGGTAAAGAAAATGTAAGATGGAAAGATTTTCCATCATAGTGTATACTTGTCAATACTTTTAATTCACGCGTAATTTAATTTCAATTTGATTTCATATTGAGAACAGTCTGAGATAAAGTTTCATGCATAACAAAATTATGTTTAAGTTAGAAGAACGGTAAATTCGTGAATTAAAGAGATTTGTTTAAAAATTTACCAACAACAATAGGAGTAAAGGTCAAGTCGTGGTCTACAAATTGGCCGAAGGTGAACAACATCAAATTCCGCTTGTCGTCTGGTGGTGTCGTCACACCTCCCGCCAATACTTTGTTGCTGATCTCTCGTGGACTTGGAAGTACGCCTCCATTTCGACCTCTTTGACGCGGACTGTTATACCCTATTCAAAATCTTATGATATCTATTGGCAGCATGTCAATCCATGAACTCAATGACAAAAAATAATTTTTACAATTTTGGATAATAAAGGTCAGTTGAATGATTCTGTTTTTTTATATAACTAAATTATCGTTTTGTCTGACCAAACGATGTTCTGTTTTTATTATAAATTTGATTAGAAAATGTTACCAAATTCAATTCTTACCATCATCATAAACAGGATGTAAATATCGCGCATGCGCCTGTAGTGCCACACCCCATGTTGGATTTCGAAGATTGTTGCACAAGCCGTCAGCACTTCGATAACTTGAATACTTATATTTTTTACAAGAGGGGGTGATTGTATCACACAGTTGAGTCCCGAAAGATCTCTGATATTCATCGCTGCTCTCTAGATCTCCAAAAGATTTCCCAGATCTGAATTACAATGTATTTTGTTTGATTTGCACTTGTTCGCACATACTTTGTTCATGTACATTATCTCCAAATGAATGAAAAATATTGGAGAGGATGTTTAATAATATATAACCAATCAATCAATGTACAGTAAAACTCGGTTATAACGAAGTCACTGGGACCTATGAAATTACTTCAATATATCAGAAGTTCGTTATATCAATATGAGAAATTCGTTGAATTTATATAGCTGGGGATTCAAAATGAACTCGCTATATCCGTGAATTCGCTATATCCGTGATCGTACTAAACGAGTTTTGCTGTATATTTTGAAAAATGGTAGCAAGTGATGTCTTTGTGATAGCGAAGGAAACGCAATATACATTTTACTAAAATTGTTATATGCGCATATTGTTGAATTTGAATTATATTTTTTCTCCTTTCAGTCCTCAAAATAAAAAAAAATTCCATATTTGACTATTACCTAATTATTTATCTTACAATAATTTTGTTGTAGTTAAAATTTGATGAAACGTTAAACAGTACAGTTTAAAAGCATCCAAGTATTTAAGTAGATATGCTGTACTGTATACTGTAATATTTGATAAAGTAATTGATGTTGCTTAAAACTTATTAAAGTATCAGAAATTATAATTATTTAGATTTCGACACCATGATTCTAAAAAATCAATTAAGATGTCAAGGATTGAAATGTGACAGCATTTTTGCAAACCCCATAGATACTCTCAACGAGAAACTATTCTGAGGATAACATTTAATGTTTCATATAAAATCATAGATTAAAATTCTAGCTATTTCCTCTAGTTTTGTCAAACTTAATTATCCTTAACTATATTTGAAACATGCATGTATATTTTAAAGTACCTTTGAATAAGATTTTTGATAAAACTTAAATATTTAAACCCCGCTCTCGCTATCGTGTCCTCATCATTCTTTTGTTTCTGAAGAAAAGCAAAGCTGTTGCCAGTCTCGGGAATAGCTAAAGGAAAAAAGATAAGAAATCATTAATGCACCTAAGGAAATCCTTTGAAAGTTATCTTTTGTTTTATTTTTAAGAACCTTGGTTTTTTTTTCATTTATCATTTTGATTTTTGTCATTATAAGGATCATTTATGCTATATTGCATAGGCTTTCAATAACTTTAAAAAAGATATTGAATTTCCATGAGAACTTTATTTAGAAAACTTTAAAATTACAATATAGGCTAATTTGCATGTAACTCACTGTCATTGCCTACTCCGAAATCACGTTGAGGTTTTAAGTATGTGTCTTGAATTGCGTCAGCAATGATGTCATCAACTTCTACACAATGTACCACATAAACTTTTGAAAGACACGTGGTCAGCAGAAATACTTGGATAAATCCCATGTTGAAATTAAGTCTATTTTTGAATAAAAAAGATAAAAAAAAATATTCATTTCAATTACAATGATATCATTTAATGTAAATGCAATAATGGATTATACATCTTGGAAAAGTTTTCTTTAAACAACAGATATGTGCTTCAGTATTTAATCCCAGTCACCAAATTGAAAGCAGGAAAAAAAATCGCTTTACTAATGGAATTATATTTGATAAGTCTTTTCTTAATTTGATAAAAATCGTATTTTTAAGTACTATGTACTAAAGTGTGTAATTATCTGGCTAATATACCACTATGAAAAAGAATGTACATTACATTTCTTTTCTTTCTTCACATTTTATTATTTTTTTATCTTTGATCTTTAAAGAATAATGCTAAGACTTAGATAATATTAAACTGTCATTTTAAAGTATTAAAAAGAGAAATTATCACGTGTTGTTTTCACATGTTATGATTTTGCCCTATGTATGTTTCGAACATGTTGAACATTAGAACAAAGAAACACAAAAAGTTATAGGCGTAACTTACGAGTATAAGACGCAAAGAAAAAGATGCATTCTGGTTTTTACCTGAAATCTGACAGATACTAGTCCAAGTGTAATTTTGTCATAATATCTCGTTATTCAGCTATATTTTCTAAGTATGCAAAATAGACTTTCATTTTCAAACAACCCTTTTTCCTTGGTATCCGAATAAGGCTAGTGACGGAGTTAGGGTAAGGCAATACAAAAGGTAACATCAAAATCAACGTGATTAATAGAGAATAATAAATACATTGCACCCTTTTCCATAGCACATCCTCTATCATTCGGAGAAACTAATATCAGCCAGTGTCGAGGGCACGAGGGGTAATATTGGTCCAGGGCTTATACAGTATGTGATGAGAATTTGGGTATCTTTTATGATGTTAATTAAATACATTTATTATATATTTGTTGAATATTACAGGATTTTTGCATCCTTGATTGAACACAGGCGCTCGCCCTGTATCACACACCTTTACACACACTTTATTTCGCACTTTATCACACCCTTGATTACGTCTTTACGGAACATCACTGTACTTTTCATTCGGAGTACCTCAGATCATTTTACTGTCATATTCAATATGTTGTTTTCATTTGAACATACAAGGAGCAAAATGACTGACGTCACATGAGCATTAAACGACGTCACACTGTAAACTGTTTTCAAATATACAATAAAAACAACAATACATTACAAAATTTGTATCACACCCCATATCAACACTCAACCAATATCAGTCCTATGGCTTTCGGCCCTCGGGCTGATATTGGAGTCTGGGGTTGATTTACGTCAACTTCTTTTACTTATTCAGCAATATACCATATACGGAGTTTATATCTATCAGTTGATTCGATACGCTAGAGCATGCTCTTATTATGTATTAGTTATTTTCCGATCATGAAAAGGAGCACACGGCGGGTATGACCGTAGGCAGAAGATGCTAACTTCTCCATGGAACCTGATCCCATCTCTGATGTCTTGGAGGTTCGTGTTAGCTCTACTACTATTTTTGAATTGTGTTATGGACTATGATATTGAATACTGTTCGTTATGTCCATATCCTTTCATTGAACGACAAAACATCGTGTATTTAAAAAAAAATGGAATTGTATTTTCTCTGACAATAAGACAATACAAAGTTTTCTTTTAATGACAGATGATACAAACAAACTTTTGTAAAAAAAAAACTTGAAAATAACAACTTTAGTCATGTTTTAATGAGAAAAGTAAAGAAGTTTGACTGCATATTTTTTTTTCAAAATTCACAAAAATGGGATTTAAATAAAACTATTTCTATAAATTAATTAAGATGGTTTCAGAGAGGTATGATTTTGAACACGACAGAAGGTTTACAATTTATTTTCATTCTAGAAATTTATTATTTGCATTATTTGCATTGAAATTAGTCAAAAAAACATATATACCAATCCAGTCATCCATTTTTGTTTGTATCATCTGTCGTTAATAGTCAACAATTATTTAAAACATATCGCTAGCAAAACTAACAGATTCTAAAAATCTCAGACCTATAAGTTGTAACGGTTCATTGAAAAGTTGTAACAGGGTTGCATTTATCTACATTTAACATTTTTCATTTGATTGATTGATTGTTTATTGTTTATCGTACCTCTTCAGAATATTTCACTAATATGGAGACGTCACCATTGCCGGTGAAGGGCTGCAAATTTAGACATATGCTCGGCTCTTACGGCCTTTGAGCAGGGAGAGATCTTTATCGTGCCACACCTCCTGTGACACGGGGCCTCGGTTTATACGGTCTCATCCGAAGAACCGTCCCATTTAGTCGCCTTTTACGACAAGCAAGGGGGTACTGAGAACCTAATCTAGCCCGGATCCCCACGGGTACATTTTTCATTTGAAACAAGGTTATTAAGGTGTGCAAACAGATGCATGAACAGGATAAGTAAAAAGCCTGTAGCCCTACAAATACGAAAGTGAAAAATCAAATCTCAATTATATCGAAATTTTCTTTAATACTTCATTTTCCATTAAAGTATACTCTATGAAACATTTCTACAACTTAGAAATATCTAATGAAGATTGAAGTAAGTGGTCTATGACGCGAAATAGGGCAAAAGACGTTATTTTCTCAAAATATAAAACTATTTTACGACATGAATGGGTCTTCGCTGATTTTTTTCTAATTTAATCCTTAAAGTTTGCTTTAAAAAATAACATTTTTGGTTAATTATTGAGTAAAAAGCCAATATACCTTAAAAAATATAATTTTTTGACATAACTTTCATATCTTTTCGAGAAGTCAATGGTCATATCACAAACATTACTTTTAAATTGCCTCTCTTGATACATGTAATGGTAAGTGTGTACTAGTCAAAAATGTTTAGTCTGGAATTTTATTGCTAGGGCTCCAACTCAATTTATACCACATTTTTTAAAAATACATTTAAACAAAAACGTTTCCTTAAAAATCGTTGTTTTTCATGATTTCATAAATGAGAACTTTATTCTTACTATTAAATTCACAATTTGAGAATGACTTTTATATATCTGAAGTTAGTTGGCTTTTAAGCAAGTTAAGTTCGCACATCTCCTTCTCTTTTTATATTTCCCTTTTTTATTGTGATAAATTTTGTGACATTTTTTTGGATTCTTGCATGTATTTGTCACATTTTTTTCTCAAGCTCTCCATGTGCAATTAGGATAGACAAATCATTTTGATAATCCATGTGGAAATATACTTTGCGGTTTTGAAAAATCGCTAGCAAGCCAACTCTGACTATTAAAGATGATAATACATTTGTATTAAAAGAATTACATTTTACCCTGATAAAATAAAATTATTTTAATGTTAAAATACAAAAGTGCATGCGTCATTTTTATTTCATTCTACAATTTTTTTTTTATAATAGTTGATGAGTGAGTTTTTAAAAGAAGAAAAAAACTTATCATAAATAATCTAATTTTTAATTTCATTTTTTTAGGTTTTAGAAATGACATTTGAGATTATTTTTTGTCTTTAATCTCCTTTAAGCAACTTTAAGAGAATGTGGACAGAAAACGATTCTATTTAAGACAAAAAATACATTTTGAATAAAAGGATGAAACAATGATTTTACTTCTTACCTTTTAAGTTCTGATGGGGAAATCAAATTTGATTTCATATTTATAGAGTGAAAAAAATTTAGATTTTGAAGGGTTTTCCACACCAATAAATGTTTTATTGATTCATCAGTACATCTCAAACAACAGATCTTATCATCGTAATATCGCTCATGCATTTATGTAGAAAATTTTATAACAACATAAGATAATGATGAAGGTAGATGGGTTTTTAACATAAAAACCTTTAAAACCGGGTTTCCATGTCCGGCAAATCAGGAAACAAACAAGTGATATCGAAAATATTCTATTGAATTATTTTTATTTATTTCTCAATGTGCATATCAGAAAAAGAAAAGCATATGACATGCCTTTAAAATCGTTTTATTGTTAGTCGTCCATTGTGTTTTGAACGTAAAGTAAAAACTGTTTTCTCTACTGAATTATAGAACGTTGTGGTGACCATTCGATGAAGAAAGGCAGATTTAATTTTTGTTTTCAGAAAAAAGGGTGATTTATGTACATATAAAGGCAACGTTTCATTACTTACAATGTCAAAGTCCACATATTGACAAAAAAATTATGAAATATCGTGTAAGTAGAAATTTTTAGCGAGGATTTAATTTTGGCATTATTAGCGAGACTATTGAGATCGCTAAAATTTAATATCGCTAAAAATAAATTGTTTGTTATTTGTACTAGCTTCTTTAGTGAGCATTCTAAGATCGCTAAAATTACTACTCGCTAAAAAAAACATGTTTTAAAGGAAAAATCGCTAAATTTGCGTCTCGCTAAAATTTTCACCTATCCGGAAGAAGTTTCAGATTTTGTTTAAATATTACACAAATGTTATTTACCATAATTAACATATTGTCATTCAAACATATGTATATTGCATTTTTATTTCAAATATCGGTTTTAATGTTTCCCTACCTTATAAAGCCTACAATATGTATTACTTTTTTCTTCATATTTTAAAGGGGGGTTATATTTTGAATAAAACTTTAAACTAATATCGAATAGATAGGAGAGATAAATGTAATGTTGAATATCCAAAGGTATACATACATATATCTTTCAAAAGATATTCAACATCAAAATTTAAATAATTTTATCACTTATCTCGATTTTTTTATGTTAAAAAATTTCAGGACGTATGTTTTCCTATCTAGTTAAAAATTTATAACCAAATTTTGGTATGTATTATTCACTGGTTATTTCATCCCGGCTTCTTATCTTATTGTGAGCAGACATGTGTATTTATAATTTAAAGATATCAAATAAAACTAATATTTAGTATAAATTCAACCAAATTGAGACTTAATACAACTTGTTAAATTAAGTAATGTAAACATAGAACAGTGTAATGTACAATCTAATTAAAGACATACCATCCAT